AATAGCGAGCTATATTTAAAATATAATGAGATAATTAATGAACACTTGAGAGATGGTATAGTGGAATGGAACGGGTAGATACGTATTTAAATAGTAGTTTGAAAACGGGGTATTACATGCCTCATCACGCGGTAGTGTGCGCGAGCAGAAGGATTCTACAAAGGTTCGAATAGTTTTTGACGCTTCTTCTAAAAGTAAGGGAAATTTATCACTTAATGATTGTTTGGAAAGCGGACCTAATTTAAATCCTGATTTGCTAAAGATTATCATTAAATTCAGGGTACATTCAATTGCGTTTTGTGCCGACATTCAGCGTGCATTTTTAGAGGTAGGCTTAGCTAAAGAAGATAGGGATTTTTTAAAGTTTTTGTGGATAAATGAAGAAGGGTCAAATCTCGATCACAGTAATTCCAACTTACAAGTTCTCCAACACAATCGAGTTCCTTTCGGGGTCAAGTGCTCACCTTATTTATTAACAGCTACAGTAAGACTGCATTTAAAAAAGTATGAAGATGCCTACGAAGAGGCATGCAGTATGTTAAAAGAGCTTTACGTAGATGATTTAATTTCTGGGACAGTTAATGTAGCAAAGGCCTTACATTTAAGCAAGGACATGATTTTCATTCTTAGCGAGGCCAGTATGAATTTACGTAGATGGGTTTCAAACTCACCTGAGCTGAATGAACTATGGAAACTTAATGGAATTGACTCTCGTGAAACATCTGAAGACTCTTTGGTACCGTTGAAAGTTTTAGGTCTTATCTGGGACAATGTCAATGATAATTTGAAAATAGATGTATCTCAGTTTGAGAAGTTACAAAATCTCAAAGTAACTAAACGCATCATTTTAGCAGCATGTGGTATGCTCTTTGATCCCTTAGGAATTATGAATCCATTTACTGTTCGAATTAAACTCTTAATGCAAACTATGTGGGAAAAAGGGTATTCAATGGGACGAAAGTGTTCCCCTTGATACAGAATTCATATTTCAGGAATGGTTAAAAGAAGTTGAAAAAATAAAGTTTTTCGAAATTCCCAGACAGTACTTCAGTGATATGTGTTGGAAGTTAATAGAAGTTCACATATTTTCTGATGCCAGTCCCAAGTGTTATGGTGCCGTAGCATATTTTAGATTTAAGAAGAAAAATAAATGTAAAACAAGTTTCATAGTGTCGAAATCCCGTTTGGCTCCATTAAAAAGGGTAACACTCCCTAGGCTTGAACTTTTGGGAACATTAATTTCTGCAAGATTAGGTTCGTATTTGCAATCGATATTTCCGCAGTTGGATAAGGGAAATATATTTTACTGGACTGATTCCCAAATTTGCATTCACTGGATCAAGGGATCTGCCAACGAGTGGAAACAATTTGTTAGAAATCGTGTGGTAGAAATCAAGGAGAAAACAATTTTAAACAACTGGTACTTTTGCAGTGGGAAGACAAACCCTGCTGATAAACTTACGAGGGGATGGATGCTGAAGCTCTAATTAATGATAGTGATTGGTTTTCTGGGCCACCCTGGCTTTCAGAAGTAGATATTCGACATCACATAAACGAAATGAATACCGAAGCTGACTTGCAAAACGTTAGTGAAGAACGAAAATGTGTTACTTTGAAAACACTTGTGGAATCTACAGAACCGTTACTAAATCTTGAACTGTACGGAAATTTAACCAAAGTACTGGGAATAATGGCTTATGTTCTGCGCTTCGTGAACAACTGTAAATCCGCTCGTGAAAAGCAATCTGGTATGCTTACCGCCTATGAGTTACGGAAGGCTTCAGAATTTCAAAGGTGGTTAGCAAATGAAAACATAAGGTGGATATTCAACCCGCCAGCTGCTCCACATCATGGCGGTATATGGGAGGCAGCTGTTAGATCTATGAAGCTGCATCTAAAGAAATGTGTTGGAACTCAAATTTTGACTTATGAAGAGTTTCTAACTCTAATTGCACAAATTGAAGCATGCTTAAATTCGAGGCCAATAACACCGGTCTCCAATGATCCCAATGATTTGACAGCTTTGACTCCTGGACACTTTATTATAGGGACTTCTTTAACAGCTGTTCCGGAACAAGATTTAACCGAAGTACGAGTGTCTCCATTGCAAAGATGGCAACTAACACAGCAGATGTTCCAAGGGTTTTGGAAGCGGTGGTCTAAAGAGTACCTGTGCCAACTACAGCAGCGTAGCAAATGGAGACAGCCTAGCAGAAATATTCGTCTAAATGACTTGGTTCTCATTAAAGAAGATAATATGCCTTCATTACGTTGGAAACTCGGGCGAGTAATAGAAGTGTTTCCTGGAAGAGACAATAATGTCCGAGTGGTTAGACTAAAAACTGTGCACGGGGACATTAAACGTCCTATTACCAAACTGTGTCTTTTACCACTTGAAGAACATTAACTTAAGTGTTTGTTTCATATTCAATATGTTTTATTATTTTTTTATTTCTTATTGCACTAATAATTTTATTTGTTTGTTCTAGTTTAACCCTCATAGTTAACGTTTCAATATAGTAAGATATAAGATGTTTTGCTAGAAGATTGGTAAGTGTAATATGTAATTTTATACTTTTTGAAGGTTCTTGTATGTTTTCATTTTCTATATTTTTCATTTACTTGTTTGCATATATTGAAGATTGTATTAAGATGAATGTAATTCATCGAGGGGGGGAGGATTTTTTGGCCTCCTCGGTGATTGCGGTGATTTGTGCCCAGAGGGCGCACCGCACAAAAAGTTAGTTGCGTTACAGAACGTAAGGGAAGCGGACACGCCAAAATGTCGGGCGTATTACCGCTAATTGAGGTAATTGCATCGTATCTGCCAGGTGGCAGAAAACTAATATGATGTATCAATTCACATGCCAGGTGGCAGAATATGTCTATCATGTACATGCCAGGAGGCATAACGCTTGTAAACATGCCAGGTGGCATACGACTTGTAAATAAATTGTAAATAAATGTACAGTAAAATATCTTGGTGCAATAGATCAAGGAACACGCATCAACAACCTTCTGATCATTTGGATACGTACATAGGTATATCATGAATTAAATGCATTTTTATTTAAATAATTCAGATTAGAGAGTAAAGAATATTACTATAAACTACATTTACTGCTTTTAAATCGCCTAGTTTCTTAATCATTAACAGAAAAAACAAATTAAGTATCTTATTCTTTGTGAAATGGCAGGTGGAAATGGAAGATATAAGTATTGTATTCCTGATAGTGGCAGCGAGTTTGTTAATCAGTTCCTTAAGTTCGCAGTAAACATATAGTAAGTAATTATAATAATAATAAAATTCAAAATTCGAGCTTCAAAGTGCACTTGTTCTGGTGACGCAAGACTACGTTTGCCACCAAATTTCTTATATGAACGCAAGATGAGATAATTAAAAAAATATCAAAGATTTAGTTTTATTGAAACGGTAATATACTTACCGTTTAAATAAAACTAAGAATAGAAATATATAAAAAGGCTTTGCAATTAATGTGTCACTACAAAATTTCATTATAACCACTATACTTCATTCTGGGTACAGACGACAGAATATACAAGAAGAGTAAAAAATTTTGCAGTCAACTAGTTACAAGTTATTAGAAACATATTCCATTTACGAGTGTATATATATATATAGAATGTTTATTTCAACTTTACTTTGAATTCGATTTCATAATGACAATTTCCAATGTTTAATATCTGCAAATAATATAGTACTCAAGTGCATAAAGATGAAAGTGTCGGGGACGGTTACTCGAGTTTTACAGGATTTCTCTACAGTAATTGATTTTTACTCCAAATTGAATTGACTAAAATGCTTCATGAGAATAAGTTCTTTGAGTATCAGCATTGGTTCATAATTCCTACTATTCGCGGAAATATTTGGCCTGACTAGAATTGCCGGTTTGGCTTTAACTTTTAACTCGAGTAAAGACGAAACACTTTCGTATTTACGTATTTTTTATCAATTATTGTTCATTGAACGGGAGTTGGTTTGTTCCCCTTGAAAAGTCAACTAATTTCCGATCAATGACAATGATTACATGTTTTAATTTTTCCTTTTACAATTGAAATATTATTCTTCGTGATGATTTAACTCCAGTCCCCGTTAAAACATTATTAACATTTTTTGATTTCAAATTACTTCAAAACATCTTTCAAAAATATAAAACTTACCAGTATGGATGCACACTTTTAAAATAATTCTACTTTAATTAAACTTAGGAGATAATATAATCAATTAATCAATACTGTTTAGGAAATAAATTATTATATATATCTATACATATATGTACTAAATTATTGTTAAAATATGTTAAAATATTGTTAAGAAATCCAGATAAATGATTTTTTTTAAAATTAAGCTATGATAAAAAATTAACTTTTATACAATTAAAAGCAAATGAAAGATCTTTTTCTTCGTCGATTGGCTAAAGCGTCTTATTTAATTGCATAGAGGTTTTATTGGGGGGGGGGGAACTAAAATTTTGTCACATAGGATGGCAACATATACTATTCACAAACATTACTCACCATATTTCGGAAACTATTATTTCAGTTGATAATAGTTCAGGTGAAATACTTTTTATTTATATAATAAAAATTTTATTTATATAATATTTATATAATACTTATATATGATTATATTCATACATATTACCGCTGGAAGCAGGCAACATGTTCCATTTTAATAGGCCACAATTATCTTGGTTTAGGTAAGAAAGAAACTGTTCCAAATACTTAAATAAGGCATTTTTAAGAAAAATTAATCATTTAAAAAATAATACCATTTAATGCAAAAATTTTAAATGATTAAGCTTTTATCTAAGTTCCCATCACAGTATTGGACTTTTTTCCTACTGTTTTCCGACTTTATCCATTACGCTTTAAGAAATGGGGGGGGGGAAATATCCGTCTGAGAATCTGAAATATCTTAAAATTTAGCGGAAGAATGATAAAGTATCTGTTTCTTCCATCTGCTGCATCCCCAGAGAAACGGGAAATGCATCCTATAATCGTTATTGTACTTAATCATGGAAGCAAATCTTTCAGCTTATACGCGCGGCAGAATAGAAGAAAGCTTCAGTCTCTTACGATATCATGAAAGCAGTACTAATTCTTGCTCTTTTAGGTTGCTTGATAGCGGTAAGTTCCTTTTTAGTTACTGTAGACCCGCATCATTCGATGTCAGTTGGTTTACCAATTTCTCACGTTATTCCTAAAGCGCACAGTACGACAATAAAGTTTTAAGATTAAATTTATAGAAATCCTAAGTTGCGGGGGGGGGGGAAACGATATTTTTCCCTTTTACTCTTGTATATGCATTCTTTTAAGTTTATACAATGTTTGGCACCCTCTGTAGTTGAACTCATCTTTTGAAATAATTCTTAAATCTCTGCTTAAGGTTTTCCGAGTAACTTAATGCTATAAAAATAATAAACCTTTAATGAAAGGTTTCATACCATTGTGTGGCAGAATTCTTTTGGTCATGCAGTAATTATTCTTCAGCTACGCCAAACCTATATGAATTTCATTTACGTGTGTTCCTCAGAAGTAATTTCATTGCAAATTATAGTATTTTAATAAAAGCAGTTCACCGACATTTATAACTGAAGATACTGTGTTGTGAATCGATTTCGGACCAAGCAAATAACCATTAATTTATCTGAGGATCATAAATAAATTACCTTCGTGTCATAGTTTGCTGAAAATACCAGTATTAATGTTTGCTATTTGGATAAAATCATTGCTATTGTTTGTTTATATTGTTTGTTTGTTGGAATTCTATTCAGCAGATGTTCCTTTTTCCTTGGATCAAAACAAACGATTAAATGCATAGAAAATTCAATCTATCAGCAGACGATATTTTAGGAAAAACCAGTCGAGGTGTCAGGATAATAAATGCTGCCAATTTTCGTTTGGCAAGTTTACTGGAATTTGCTAAAACAATTAGTCTTAAACTTAGCAGACGCACAGTGCATTTTCAAGAACTTTATATAAAATTATTACTGAAAAATATATATTAATTAATACCCTCTGTAAGACGACCACATTCTGAAAACAGAACTAATTCTTCCGCTTGCTTGATAGCGGTAAATTAACTCTTTAATTACAGCATTCCAATATAGTAAGTTAGTTACTTGGTTTACTAATGTCCTAAGTTCTTTAAATACTAATATATAAAATATAGAATTGTTTATTATAAATATATGTAACAAATAATTTCGATAGTGATATAAATGTTGCATAGCGTTTTCATAGATTATCTTTATTGAAGATTATTTAGTGGAATAATAACATAGTAAAGCAAATAAGTTACAGAGTTCACATGTTCAAAGAAATGTATTTGATAAGAGAATAGAAACTGTATTCAAAGAAATGTATTTGATAAGAGAATAGAAATTGTAAACATGACGTTTTAGAACAGATGCAAGTGAGAGTAATGTACGAACACTAGGATACGAATGCTAGATTAAGGAGATTAAGGAAGATTAAGAAAGTTAAAAATCTATTTTATTTCTATTTGTTGATTAAATTTTAGATTTAAAATTTTCATATTACTATTGGCTGAAAAATTTCAGCTTCACTTTTGCATTACGTAAGTTTGCGAGAGAAGCATTATATAAAAATCATGTGACATAGATTAATTTCGAAGTAACGCATGCGAGAAAGATTTATTATAAGCACATTATTAGACACATTACTACTGACAGAAATAGGAAATAATCAGATTTAAAAGGAGAGTTAAGGAGCTACTGCATATTAAAGCTATTTTTTTTCAACTACAGGGAACCCATCTTAACCTTTTACAAAAGCTTATGTGGACACCACATGTCTTCCTTGTATGGCCTATTAAATGCTTTGCTGTATTTCATTTAAACTTATTTCCTCGAATTTCATTAGATATGTATTTCTCATTCAATGAATTCAGTTCTCATTTCGCGGCAAAGCAAAAATACATAAAAACTCAAATCATCTTCATTAAAAACTGTAAAATGCAAAAACACATAAAACATCAAATACAGTTAAAAGAATTTTTAAAAAAAAATTGCAATTCAAATTAGAGATTTTATTCAAAAACAAGCAATTCGGCCAGTGGGCATAGAGGCAGATCTTTCGGTGCACCAAACTGCAAGTTTACTTTTGGTCTCAATCGGCAAAAAGACATTGAAGGAGCAGAAACTGACTTAATTCACTGTTCTACTGAGTTTCAAAAATAAACAAATGGCGGTTCGTTAAGCTTAACTCACCACTTCGAAATTGTTGATAATTCTACAATAATTGCATGCAGATTAACTAAAGGTGTAAAAATCTTAACCGGAACATAAAAACTACATAATTCAATCACCTTTAAAGAAAAAAATGCACAATTTACCATTATATAAGAATAAAAATACTAAGCTCACCAAGACAAGTAACAGAGTGAGAAAATCTATGCAACGATTGCATGCATCTATATACGATTGGTGTAGCCGATTGCAATGAAAAAGGGAGGTGCACAACTGCATGTTATAGAAGTCCCATATACAAAATTTCAAAGTTGCACGGCTTCTTGAGTTATCTGAGATATATACATACATACGTAGGAATGTACATACAGAAGTCAAGAAAAATCTCTTCTGAATCCATTTAAAATCCATTTTGCAATCCTTTTTGGAAAAAACAGTCGTTTACTCTGTCCGTACGTTTAGATGTCACGTAAAAACATCGTTCAAATAGTTTTGAGAGCGGTTGAAATTGATGTTTTTGTTGAAATATGATATCCGAAATTTTTCGCGATTACAATACTTCCTTTACTCCGTACAAGGAAATAATGATTACTCAAAGTTTCGGTCAATTTCAGTCTTCTGTGGAAATGATCGAAGAGAAACGATATGATGGTCATCTTCGATTTCCATAACGTATTTGCACTATTCGAAATTTCTGGAATCTTCTAAAGAAAATATTAGAATAGAATAGAAATGCGGTATAGCGGTTTATTAATATCGTTATATTAATAAATCAGGAATTAGTTGTAAATATAAATCAAATAAATGAATTAATACATTAACCGCCAAAACTACAAGGAATGTTTCTTTTCTCATGAAAATAATAACAAATATTAAAATAAGCATTTATAACATAAATTTACATTGAAAATAAGAAAAATGCTCTTACCTGTGGAAAACGCGAGTGTCGCGTTCGCGCAACGTCAGCGAAATAAGACTACGGATGTTTAGTGAGTAGGATTGTACTCGTATGATGTTTCTTTTGAGTGGAGCGCAGGATTACTTTTTAGCTGTATAACGTTTTATAAATCTGCAAATTACTTTACTTGTAATTAATTTATTATTAAAATATACATTGTATTTCTTTTACAAATACAGATTATTTCAATTGAAAGATTCAAACATGAAAAGCTTCATTACAATCATGATGTAAAGGTACATTACATACTTTGCATCTATAAACAGTCTGGCTATGGTACTCTTTACAACAAAGTCCTTTGTTATCAACGAACTTTACGATAAAATGTCTACCATCTCCATGCAATGGTTTTTGAATGCTGAATTTACTAGGTCTTCCTGTTGCTGATCTATTTCTGGCTGATTCTACACTCTCAATAAGAGTTTGCAAAAGGAATAATGCATTCTCGCGTCTAAAATCTAAAAGAGACTTTATATTTCCAGTAGTAAAAAGTGGTGATATTTAGTAACTTTAAATACGGTCTCACCTCATATAATTTATCAGTATTGTCAATTTGACTATTGTCTAATGCAAATTCTGCTTCATATTCCCGTACTGCAAACGTGATATCGATTTTCGTACAACAGGAACAGAAATGTCCTTATCAAAAGACCATTACATTTTTTCTTGAGGTATAGAATAATATCCTGTAAGCCAGTGGTCGGCAAACTTATTAGCCAAAGAGCCAAATATGAACATTACAAAAATTTTAAAAAAATTGGGAGCCAAATCTGCTTGCTTAGTAAACTTTTATTACACTAAATAAAACTAAGTTTAATACTTAATAAATATTTATAATGCGAACAATGTGCTTGCATCTCCTTGGAAAGTTTGAGTAAGTCAGGTTTGTATGTTGTTGTTTTTAATTTTAGGCATTATTCCAAGTTCTCATCAATAAGATGACTTCTCAGTTTACTCTTGATAATGTTCATGCTTGAAAAAGATTTTTCGCAAATATATGTAGAACCGAAATGGGAAAGAACAGCAAACGCGAGCTTTTTCAGCTGATCGTAAATGTGATCTTAGTTCACAACACAGGTTGAATTGGAAATATTGGAGAAGAAAAAATGTGATCTTAGTTCACAACACAGGTAGACCACTTGTGTAGTGAACTAAGATCACATTTTTCTTCTCCAATATTTCCAATTCAACACAAAGACGTTCGAATTTAGAGCGCCATATCTCCTTGTTTTTTAAATCCAGCAATTGTATTTCAAAGCTACCAATGTCAATTTCAAAATGAGAAAATTTCAACTTGGTTATCGTAGCATTACGAGGATTTTTGACAAATGCTAAAGTTGCTCTGCTGTTCTTAAATTCCTGAAACCTGTTTTGAAAGGTTTCAGGAATTTGAAATGCACAGGATTTGAAATGTTTCCCTTTCAAAATCCTGTGCAAAAATGGATAATTTGTTTTCGAATGTTATTACTTCTTCTACCATCGAAAAAATTAAGTTTCCTTTTTCTTGTAGTTTACGATTAAGCTGATTTAGATGAGACGTAACGTCTACCATGAAATAAAAGTTTTGGATCCACTGATCGTCTGTTAGTTCTGAATAGTTAGTTCTTCTCAAGGAGAAATGCTTTAATTTCCGGAAAAAGGGACGCGAAACGTTTTATAACGTTCCCTCTTGATTACCAACGTACCTTGTTATGAAGCAGATCAGCGTACTCACTCTTCATTTCAAATAAAAATTCTTTGAATTGGTGATGATTAAGAGCTATAGCTAAAATGGAGTTGATAATGGTAATCACTAATTCCATAACTTTATAAATTTCTTCCGGAAATGTTTGCGCACAAAGCGCTTCTTGGTGAATGATACAATGGTGAACAAGTATCTCGAGATTAATTTTTTCTTTCAAAATAGAACAACCTCTTTTCTTACGCCGGTCATACTTTTGGCCCCATCTGTTGAAATC